GTAATAAACTCCCCAATCGATGAATTGAAGGTTACAGTTAATGAGCTGAAGGAGTCCGTGGAACTTAGCTCGGCTCCGTACGATACATTACTTAAGCAAATAACAACCAACGAAACTTGGGTCAATGAGCTCAGGGTGGAGGCGTCCCTACTTAGAACTACTGTATCGGAGAATGCTGCCGTATCGTGCAACTGCAAGCGGAGTTCGAGACCGAACAGCATAGTCGCCTTCCTAACTCTGAAATTCACGGAATGCCTGTAACTTCCAACGAAAACCTGATGCATAACGTTGCTGACCTCGCTATGCGATTGGAATTGTCCTCCTTTCACCCTTCTCAAATCGTCACTCTGCATAGATTACACGGACAGGAAGGCAAAACGGCTCCGGTCCTGATAAAATTTGTGTCAGCTGAAGTTCGTGGATCCTGGTTGAACGCACGAGGTAAACTACGTACGCTAGTGCTTAACAAGTCTGTTCCGCAGATATATTTCAATGAGAACCTAACAAAGTTTAACCGTAGTCTCTTCTGGCAAGTCAGAACTCGTGGCAAGATCAATCATTTTAGGGGCGAAGCTCCTTAGGGTCTAGATTTGTCCGGCGTCCGTGCTCACATCGATTGCCATCCCATCTGTCTTCTTAAAAAAAAAAATGTTTGTGCAGTCGACAGGATTCAAGCCTGTGCGGGGAGACCCCAATGGATTTCTAGTCCATCGCCTTAACCACTCGGCCACGACTGCGGGACGAGTAGGGGGCCCTGAGATGTGGTAGTAACTCAAGAGCTGGGAATGTCATGGATGAAACGTTGCTTGAAGCCGCTCAACGTCTATACAGGAGAGGGCGCTGCGGTCAGATGCGTATATAATCGCGTTAAACTTTCCGGGCGCTGTGGTCAAATGCTCAACTGCGTATATAGCCACGACCCATACCACATATTCTCTTTCTGACATGGACCGTTGACTTAAAGATGAGTTCCCACGGCTTCTAGCGGATCCAAGCTGATCCGCTAGAAGAACCACTGGCTCTGCACTTTACCAACCATAAAGCAGTAATAATGAAGTCGAAACGCAACCCGGAATTCAGCACTACCTAGGCTATGAGCAATAAAAAAATCAGCCCCATCAGCACCACCTCTAAACAAAATCAGTATCATCAGCACGACCGGAGCTTCGCTCCAATGAACATCATTCACCACGTAGAGATCCGGTTTTTTTTTTTTGTTTTTTTAAATATGTCTGGGTTTGTAACGGAAAGATCTTTGCTTTGCTAAGCGAGCAGATTTGGGGGGGGGGGGGGGGGGGGGGGGGAGGTTACGTCCGTCCGTATCAGATATGAACAGAACCTTGAAAGGATAAACTAGAGCCATGACAGTACAGTTCCTTGAGTGCCCCGACTTCTGTTTGTTCAAAAGAGAATTTCAGTCATCTAATACTAGTGTCATTACTGTTGTTTATGTGAAGATACGCGCGTAGCATAAGAAAATACTGGGATCAATTTTGGCTTATTGTTGAGAACCTGGGTGACTGTGCTATGTCTACGGAAACTAATGTTCCTGAAGCAGCGTTGCAAATGTTTTTTTTTACGCGCTTCACGGGCAGTCGGGGTGGCATTGGCGCTTTCATAAGGAACTCCCTGATAACGACAAAAGTGCCTATACATTTCAGTCACGCTGAGTCATTGGCGTTTGACATTAATAAATCAGATTTTTTAGTGTCCTTATTGACAGTGTATAGACCGCCATCAGGTAATATCACTGCTTTTCTAGGGGAACTTAAAAGCTATTTGAATACGTCATCGACAATAAAAAAATGTTTGCATCATTGATGATTTGAATATCGACACCCTAAAAGACAATGTTCCTTTAGTATGTGACTATATGAACCTACTTGCAAGCTTTGGCATTGAAACTAATATACATGCCCCTACCCAAGTAGAATTCTTAAGGGACAAGCTGTTACGTCTTGTATTGACCACATAAACGTTAGGGCACCTGACGCTAACTCAGTTAAATCGTTTGTTATCACCAAAAAAATTATCTGACCACTATTTCATATTAATATTCAGATTAATTCCAGTGAACATGGGCAAACACTTCTTCGGGTTTTAAAAACAATTAACTTCCTTAAATGCCCCTCTTCTAACAATCTTGTTTCTTCCTATGATTGGGAGTCTCTCCTACGTAAAAAAGACCCATCTCAACTCTATTCTAAACTAGTCTCGCTTATTAAAACATTTAAGGATTCTAGCACAGTAACTGTTAATATAAAAAAGCGTAGATCGGAACAAGTATGGCTTAACGACAACATTCCTCAGGCTATCAAAAATAAAAAAAACTTCTATGGAAGCGTAGCCGGCGTGCGCCCAGAAATGAGGAGTTGCGAGCGAGATACAAGGCATCTCGGAACCAGGTAAATGCACTAATTCGCTGTGCTAGACATAATCATTACACAGGAAAGCTTCATAACTCGCGTTTCAATTCTAGGGAAACGTGGTCCATAATTAACGAGCTTCGCGGTGTCTCTCGAGAAAGTGCCTCCATGTTGGAAAAAAAGCTTTGGAACCAATTTCACCACAGCTACTTCTTTTGCTCAACATTTTGCCTCTTCCATTTGTAATAGCACAGGGGACGATGTGCCCAATCTTTATGATAAAAATATAGTCTCGTCATCTGCGTTTCTTCCTGCAATTTTAGGGGCCGAGTTACTTTCCATTCTATTTTCCTTCAAAAGAAATAAATCACAAGGAATCGATGGTATATCTATCATAGACCTCTGTGATAATTTTGATGTGCTTGCAGAAGCTTAGTAGCCATGATAAATGGGTTGGTATGTTCTGGCTGTTTGCCTGCAGATCTAAAAAGAGCAATCGTAGTACTCATCTACAAAGGTGGCCCCCGTAACTTGCTGTCATCGTATCGGCCCATCTCGATACTGCTGTCCATATCAAACATTTTAGAAAAACACGTATTAGTTTTCATGAATGGTTTTCTTGATAAGCATTGTATAATCTTATCTTCACAGCACGGCTTTGTCACGGGGCGTGGCAAGTCATGGTTACTAGACGTGTTCTCTGGCTTCCTTCATTCATCTTTCGGTAACTCTTGTGTATGCGCTCTTTTCCTTGATGTTAAAAAAGCATTTGATTCTGTTAATCATAAAATTTTACTTAAGAAATTGTACCATGGTAGGATTCAGAGGTCCTTTCTTCGCTCTGCTGCAAGATTACTTATGATCTCGTTCACAGTTGGTGTCATTGGCTAATGTTCGAAGTAGCAAAGTTCCTCTCCTCTCTGGAGTGCCACAGGGTTCCCATATTATCTCCTTTATTATTCAATATCTATGTAAACGATCTTCCGGCTGTTGTCACTAGTAACATATGCTACAATATGCGGATGACACTCTGTTATTTACCAGTCACACCGATATTGAACCCGCCATGCATATGCTACAAACAGATGCTGTTGCAGTTATGGATTGGTTCAAAGAAAACAGAATAACTGCGAATTCTTTAAAACCTAAACTCGTCTGTTTTCGCAGCCCTTGGAAAAAGCTCACTGTCTTCTCGAACTTAATTTTGCATGGTTCTAATTGTGTTCCTTGTTGCTGCACCTCTGTCCAGTACGTTAATTCTCTTAAGTATCTTGGTATATTTTTTATTTCGATTTTCCATGGAATACGGATATGGCTTTTGATGCAAAGCGTCTCCGAAGTGTTTCATGCCAGCTTTACAATTTAAAAAATGTATCTTCCGTTTGCAGTGAAAAAGTTGATAATGCATTCTCTGGCCTATAGTGTGCTCAGATACGGCATTACTCTCTTTTTTAATTGTTCCCTGTAATGGCACGATAGAATCGATGGTATTTTGAAGGGGATGTTGAAAACTGTGTCCTACAATGTATCGCTATGTTCAAGTGACAATATCTTCGCATCGCTTCAGTTACCTTGTTTTCGTTCACTTTTTTTACAAACCGTCGTTCAGCACCACTTTTGCAACAAGGACTTTATAATTCAAAGGATGGCACCTCGTATAACAAAATGTAATACACGCTTTGAAGTCCCGCGTATATATAGTCACTACGGGGAAAGCATTAGGGTATTTTATGTACCCAAAATATTCAACCCGTTACTCGACTCCATATTTCTTTCGAAATCGAATCTTCACCTTAAAAAGAATCTCAACAGATTGTTTAATGATAGAAATAAGCATTCTACATTGTGAGTATCCAGTCGCTGATTTCTGTGTTGTATTTTTTGTTGTGAAGAATGTGCTTCCACTGCCAGGTCGCGCCACACAAGCCCTAATTGGCATCGGCAGACATGACAATCTGTAGTGTTGATTTTGATTAATTAAGACTATTATTATTATTAATATTATTATTATTCGAACCAGCGCTCAGCGTTCTGACGTCCCCGCGCGTTCTTGTCTCCTCCTCTCCCCCAGTTTCATACCGTGATTAGGGAGTTTTCCTAGACCGCGTTTCCCTTTCCGCTAAGCCCTCCGCAACGAAGAAGTTGCTACTGCGCCTGCGCGCCGATAGCTTTGACTTTAGAGTTCCGGGTATCGTAGCGGATATCGTATCATGGCGAAAACGGTCTACGAAAACTCCCTATTATCTTTCCTTCCGTCAGCCTGGTACGGCCTAGATAAATTGGGGATTTTTGGAAAATCGTTGCAGGCACAAAGAACTGAACAACCCGATTCACGAGATCCAGAACTCCGCTGACAATGCTAGAGCGGCACACATGCGCAGCAGTGGCGTCTTCGTTTCGGAAAGCATACGAAGGGGCAAGGATGGCCTACGTAAGGTCCACAAAGTATTAGTAGACCGTTCCGATACCTCCGACAATGATACTCCTACTAAACTCTCCTACGTAATCTACTAAAAACACTCCGTTGTTTCGCTTGTGGTACATTTCCCAGCCCGCTGTTCCGTCACGGCGGTAACGGTAAATGTGTTCTCGTATAACGCTATGCTCTTTTTGCGCTCCACCGGGCAACTTAGATACCAAGTTCGGAAATTTTATTGATTTGTAAGGCACGAATGCATCGAACTAAAGCATAGTCAGCCAGAATAACGTTCCCGTCATTTTGGCTTAGAGGTCGTTCAAGGTGTCGTCGATCCAGGATCGCTTCTCCTGGACCCGGTTCCAGTAGGCACTACTTCCGCAGATAGAGGTCAGTTCGGACGAAGAGGTGCTCATGCTGGTCACGCCGTGCAGTACCCAACGCCCACGGTCGTCTTTGCACACCAGAGGACCACCGCTGTCGCCCTGCAAACGACCATCAAGTAGTAAACGTCGGCGGTCGCGTCAAGCAGCCGGTAGATTCGAAGCTGCAATCCCCAGGTCGGTCACTTTTAAAAACAATAAAATTGATTTAAAAAAAGAAATGTATAGCCCCTGATACATTTCTCAAACCAGACCCTTTTCAGAAGTCCGCACCAACTCCTGTCCGCCATTGCTTGATCACCTACTCTGAGCGTGTATTGGACACGAGGGCTGTGCCAGCGTTCGGCGAGGACTCGGATCCAATCACGCGCTTTGTGTCCAAGCAATGGCGACCGCCAATGTTGCTTGATGAACTTTTGAAAAGGGTCTACTGGTTCAACAAATTAATATACATATCGTATCTAGTAACATAAATTATAAGTAGGGCCTCGTTTTCAGAAAAATCCGAAAAACTTTAAAAAATACCCCCGAAATTGATCAAAAATAAACTCCGAAAACAAGGAATCCTAATTGCACGTAAGGTCTGAGAGGTTGAGGGGCTCCACTATCAACACTGAGAACGTGACGCCAGATGTAGCAGCAATGCTTGTTCTCGACGGGTCTTAGGTTTCACGGTGTGAAGTGAACGCTGGAAAAACTCACGCCAGCAAGACGACAAAAAAAAAAAAAAAGAGTATCCGCAAAATATTGTTACGAATGACAAATGAGGAGGCGAAGAGTAACTGAAGAAATTAAACTTGTGCCCAAAATAAAATAGAAGAGCGTTAGCGTCGCAGGCGTCGGTGTCGACGAAACAGCAGGATCGAGCGCTGGAGCGAGACTGACTCCGGTTCGCCTCGCGGAGCACCTGCTGTAGCCACGTGGGTTTCTGGAACATTCGGCCTAGAACATTCGGCGCGAAGAACATTCGGAACTCGATCAGACGAGAGTGCTCTTTAACTCACGAGAACACCAAACTGAAAGAATAAATAAAAGAACATTCCGCTCGCTGGAATGGAACCCAAACCTTCCGCGTGACAGTCAAGCGGGGGTAACCATTTGGTCACGCACGCGGTCGCACGGCGATGCGCGTGGCAAAATTATGTTTTATAGACTACCTGCTCGGTCACTTCATCCTACTGGAGTGCGCCGGAAACTTTTCTTTTTTTGCATAATTTTTATTTGCCATTTTCTCAATACGTGGCCGTATATATTTTTAAATTTAGATGCAATAAATAGCACGCCGGGAAGAGTAAAGCGTGAACATTACGAAAATGTGTTTCTTAAACAAAGTTACAAGTAATTAAGGAGATGTGACAGTAATATAATACATCGCTCGTACACATGTTGAAAGAAGGCCTCGTGATCATTATACCCTGTTATTGGCAGCCAATCAATACCTTATGGCCATCTGCCTTACTTTTTTTCTATCCTCTTTTGCATGCGATAGCACTAAAACGCTCGTTTTCACGAAAACCCGGCGGTGTCTTTCGTTTGTCAGCGCCGGGGAGAGAGGGAGAAGGTGACTCGTGCGACGCTCTCATTGGTCCGAAGCGATGACGTTAGTATGCGTCACACCTCTTCTTTTCCCCTCGGCGCTGACAAACTGAGACACAGCCGGGTTTTCGTCAGCACGAGCCCTTTCGTTTTCGTCAAAGTCACGCGCACAGCTGGCGCGGAGCGAAAAAGGAGGAGGCGCCGCGCAACACTCCCTATATAACAAAGACGTAGTGCTGAATGAGATGGCGTCTTTAAAGAAGGCTAACGCTGAACACAGATTGGAAACGAGTGCTGCGTCAGCGCTTTGCTTCGAGTCAAGTCTGAGACGAACGTTGACGCAGTCCTCGTGTCCAATCTGTGCCCAGTGTTTGCCTTCTTTGATGACGCCATCTCATACAGCACTGCGCCTTTGTTATCAAGGAAGTGTAGCGCCGCGGCCAAGTGGAAAGCGGGCGTGCTCAGTTGCCGCTCTGCCGTTGCCGGTTGTTCTTCGCTCTGGGTTCCTGTAGCGATGTGTGGGCTGTGATGTGTGTGTAGTGAAAACGATAGATGCAGTTTGTCCACAAGTGGTATGGAATGGATGCAGTTCCTCGCACGAGTGGTATGGATGTGGTTCTTTCCACAAGTGATATGGATGACCGTATCCAAGAGTGTCGACGTACTCTGACAGGCGAAGTACAAAAAAAAGGGGGGCGAAAGAAATTACAGGAAGATCCATTGATGGATTTTTAGGGAATGCGTTAGCATGACCCTTGGAAACGCCACACAGGTCCCCCTTTGGGAAACGCTAACACTAACCCCGTAACGAGGTCAAAAAGAGGCAGCAAAAAATCAAAGGGAAAGTCAAAAAAGAAAAGTGAAGGGGTCAGCGTCAGCGTTTCCCAAAAGGGGACGTGCGTGGTCTTGCCAAGGTTCATGCTAACGCATTCCCTAAAAATCCACCAATGGATCGTCCTGTCATTTTCCCCCCAAATACCTCTTCCCTCAATCCAACAATGACAAGCATGCGCACTTCAGGAAGCACAGCTCTAAACCAAAGGCTGGTTCGCACATGTCCGTTTGAGTTCGAATCAGCGGCGTAGAGTTTCCATTTTCCCGGGGGGGGCAGACTCGGAATGTGGCTCAAAAAAAAAAAGGGGGGGGAGGGGAGGCTGCGGGGGGGGGGGGGGGAGAGGAGGAGAAGGTTTTTGTTTTATTTGTTCCGTGGGTTCTCCCCATAAGGGTCACCTGCAGCAGTCGGAGCCTTTACCGAGCATTTTGGTAAACCCGAGACTGGAGAAAAAGGGACAAGGACATAAACAAACGGACACGGACATTGTGACAGCTAACTACCTGGTGTCCCCAAATAAGACGCTCCGCAAAAGAATGACCCGGAAACTTCAGCGGTTTGACGCATCCAGTAGAAATTTCTCTGAATACGTGTTTTACTGGCCACATTTATGCAAACATATTGCAAGACTAAACTACCAGTACAAAAAAGCGAATATTTTTTTTTTCTGCAGGGGTAGTTCGGGTCTAAAATTTTGTTGCATAAATGTGACCAGTAAAACACGTATTTCAGGAATATTCCTACTTGTTGCACCAAGGATCTAAATTTTGCGGGCCATTTTGTGTGTAAAGTGTATTTTGAGATGCCCATATAGTACCAAACTCCCCGAGTGGATACGCAGGCGCACCAAAAGTGTTAATTTTGAAAATGGTGAACAGGAGAAAATGAATCTGCTGTAACCAAAATATTTTAATATTTTTATTTTCGTGTGGTACATTTATAATGAACAGACACACGAGGCACACGTTGAGCAATTCTCAATGCAACGGTTACAAAACGCTTACAATTAAAAAAAAAAACGTTTTAAAAATGACAAAAGGAACACGTATCGGGCATGATGATTATTCTTTCCCCAAAGTTGGCCTTCGTAGAGACTCCGAAGGCCCAATCGCTCTCTTCCCCACAGGCTTTTGTTTCAAAGCAGTGTCCCTTTGTTTTTGTTGTGTTTTGCGATGCTGTTATTTGGCTTCTGGTGTGTATTTTATTGTCATGTTTTGTTTATTTTGTTAACACATGCAGCAGGGGAGAGTGGGGTAATGGTGGCACAAGAAGCTTTAATTATACGACTGACTTCAATTTTAAGAGGGCCAAAAATAATTCTCAGACGGTAGCAAAGACCATTTGATACCACTATACCTTGTGCGAAGCTGGGGTTACAAATTTTTCCGCCAAAAGTTGTTTTCTGGACGAGTATTCGAGTCTCTGTTCGGTGACAAGACTGGTAGTAAAGCCCTTCACTGACCAATCAAAAATGTGTACAATATTTTCTTGGCCGAAAGGGCATTCATTTGTAGACGCGCAAGAAATTAAAATTTTTTTCTTGGCGAGCAGGTCTGCAGAATCAGTCACTGACTCACTGTGTCGGGGATGCTTCCTATTCTCAGAAGCATTTTTGTTGTCTAAAAACCGACAGAGATGTCGCGACGCTTTCAAGACTTTTTTTAGCCTGTCATAGCTGAAGCGGGCACTTCAGCTGTTCATTCAGACAACATATTCCGCGCATCTAACTCCGTCTGAGGGGAATTTTCCACTGAATGTCTGACCTGTCACTGTCCCGAGATCCACCATTTAAAAGCCTGAAAGGAAATAAGAAGCGGGAATAAACAGGCCCCTGTGAAATAGCTGCCAGTCAGGACGGCCAACAGTCCACTGTCGATGGGCGCAGACCCAAGCCAAGCTCTTTAAAAAAAATCCCGGGCCGGGGCCGGGGGGGGCTCTGCCCCCCCGTGAAGCCGTCCGGGGGGGGGGGGGGGGCACGAGCCCCACTGCCCCCCCGTAGTTGGCGCTTATGGTTCGAATCATTGCATTGCAACAGCTTTTGCTGTGAAGAGCGTTTGCAATTCAATGGCGGACGTCTCCTGCGGAGATTGGTCGGAAGTGCGCGTGCGCTTCCTTTTCTTGTGGCGAGGAGGAAAGCAGGCTGAAAGGAGACGTTTTTCGACGATCAACGCTTCCGGCGCCTCCTTGTAGCTCGTATTGCAAACGCGGCCCATAGATCACGTGACGTCGATCGAGCAGTTGGAAATTCTGTGATGTAGGCCCTCTAATGACGAGATAACACACTGACGCCACCTATCAAGTACACTTGGCCCATTTCCGGTTTGTATTATCTTTCCTGAACTAGACTGAAGCTTTTAGGGCATTCGTGATATAAAATCTCCGCAGTATGTAGAAGAATGTTCGCTTACAACATCGTCGGAATTATTGCAAGCCGAAGTTTAAAGGATAATGAGTGGACATTAGCAAATATACGCGGATCGGAAATAGACCAGGGTTTCCCCACGACGCCAGTGCGTTATCTTGGCGGTAAGCTGCTGTCAGAAGCGGTTAAAACGCAGTCGGTCACAGGCAAACGGAAGTGTGAAAAGAAGCCTCAGGTTAATTTTCCTTTTTTTTTCTAACACACACTCACGGATTTATAATAGTCATAAGAGAGGATAAATAACGCTAAAACTGTGATCCCTGCAATTTTTTTCTATATATTTATAATTATGATTAGCATTTGGTTTTCTAAAACACTCGATATCATGACGGAATACTCCAAATACAGTAGAGCCATATTACACATTTTGTTTATTCCAAGAATGTTTTGAAACTCACAAGTTTCGGATCTTTTTTACTCAGAGTGTGTTTTAACAGCCAGTCTTTATTGAGGTATGCAACGTCTTGTGTGTGACGTTTGGCTGTACCGTAAAACCGACATCGAAATCGTTACGCCCATATAAAAATACTTCATTCCCTCGCCAAGGCTTGATCTCACCACCCAGGTGCTTTACCAACTAAGCTAGCGAGCCATGTTGTTTTCTTTTTTCAACATAACAATTATTTACATTTTAGGTACACAATAGACAGAAGAAGCCGTATTGTGTAACGAAAATCCGCTGTCGACGCGAACAGAGAACCTTTCGAAAGAAAACTGTAAGGTCGCGCGCCTCGCGGCTTTGAAAGCGTGTGAGCATGTCATGCTGCGCCATCTCACAGCGTTTGTCAGAAATAAGAGCGAATCTTGGACACACATGCTTCGTAGCGAGGCGGTGCGGTTCAGACACCTCTTTCTTCTTGGCTTATCGTGGACAGTCTTGCACACGTTACTAAAAAAAAGTAATCGATTACAATTACTATTACTCTTGGCTAAAAAGTATTCGATTAGATTACTTGATTACTCGATGGAAAAAGTAATTGGACATTACTTAAAGAAGTAATCGTTACTTTTCCGATTACTTTATTGTGTGAAGACACATCTTTAGCGCTCATAACAATGAACTACTTCCAACCTATATTTCACATCTGCACAAGTACTGAAGAAGAAAAAAAAATGAAAGCCGTTTACAAATCCCTGTAACGCCGAATTGGAGCGCAGCTCTTGAGGAGGAGTAGGGAAGGGTACTGAGGGGGGTCACGCCACCTGCGGGTAGTCACGTGACCCCGGGGGGTCACGTGATCTCGGGGGAGGGGGGGCCACGTGACCTGGGGGGGTCACGTGACCTCGGGGGGTCACGTGACCTCGGGAGGGGGGTAACGTGACCTCAAGGGGGGGTCACTTGACCTGGGGGGGCTCACGTGACCTGGGGGGGGGCTCACGTGCCCTCGGCGGGGGGTCACGTGACCTCGGGGGGGGGGGGGTCACGTGCCCTCGGAGGGGGGGTCACGTGACCTCGGAGGGGGGGTCACGCGACCTCGGGGGGGGGGTCACGTGACCCCCCCCCCCCCGGTTACGCCGACGCCGACGCCGCTCAGGCTGGAAACGGGCCCCTAAGAGCTGCGCTCTAAAACTGGCTCCCTCTTCGTGGTCGTTGCACCTTCACAATGCGGATACAACCATAGAATTCGTTTGAAGACGTTTAATGATTTGGGCGTTCGCCAGTGTGTGTGTGTGTGGGGGGGGGGGGGGGGCGGAGGGGGTTCTAGATCTTGTTAAAGGGGCCCTGCAATCATATTTAAGCGTCTGCCTTTTTTGCGGTTTCCACGTCCCTTGGGGTTCGGGCAAGCCAGCGGGCGCGGAGAGACTAACTAGGTATCAGTGCGCCATATTTTAACCGGACGACGCGGAAACCACCTCCACCGACGAGGGCGACCCGCGGTACCGAAAGCGCGCAAAATGTGACGTTTTTGGTCCTGGGCTTACTACTGGTCAGAGCCGCTAAATGCTTCTTTTTAGTCGAAATACAAAATATAAGTGGCGCGAACCATTTCAATTTTTTATAAGAGTAGGTTTTGTTCAGTATTTCAGGTCAAAAAAGAAACGAATGCAGTTCATAAAGTACGGAAACAAGAAATGACCCGTCGACATACCCGCCACCAAGCGGTGGAAAAGGCGGTGCATACTAGAAAGGAGTAGTGGGATCAGGCGCCGACACGGAAAGGTCCCGGATGTACGCGGCGGCGCTGCTGTCGTATGAACAGGATAATCCGACCGGCTCCGAGCTTTACGAAGGCCTTCAGCGAGAAGCTTTGTCTTGTGGTTTGGCCGTTTCGCGGTATGGCAGCGCAAAGTAGCTCCCATTCTGAACGGATCTTTACCCCGTGCTTGCTGTCGTTTGTGACCAGTGAACTGTCATTCCGAATTAGTATTTAATCGCGCAGCAAATGCAATGAGAGCCGCTCTGGCTGCCCGCTGCATACAGCCTATCCAGAACACGCTTTAATGGCGCCCTCTCGCGCCGTCGACACGGAGTGCGGCCGCCGTGAGCGCTCGATGAGCTCACTACTTCTCTTCTAGTTCACAGCCACTCTCAAGCAATCAAGGACGTCATGAGGGAGGTTATTTTTTGCTTGTTTGTTTTAATTTTAATTTGCCTATAACATTTAAAAGAAAGGGAATTTCGAGAAAAGAAAAGTTTCACTAAGTTCAGTGAGCTCAGGTTCGGTGCAAATTAAAAATTAGTAAAAAGGTCACTGCAGGGCCCTTTTAAGCTAGAGGAAGGATTGTCGCTCAAAGTTTGCGTCGCTCATTTTATTATTCACACGTGGAAGAGCTCGCATGTTATACAAAAGAGCAGCAGCTCCAGGATTTGAAACGGATCATGTGTATAGTATCCATTAGCGGAAGAGATCGCCCCGACCACTTCTCAACTCGAAACATTGCTTGTCACAAAGACCATGTAGGGGAAATGGGGAAATATTTCAACTGCCTTTGTTATATTTTGCATCCGCTTTGGGCATTCTTCGGTTCTGGTTCTCCTATGGGCTGCGAGTAGGTACCCTAAGCAGGATTTTTTAATTTTTTTATTTCTGTGTGTGTGTGCGTGAGGGGGCTAGTTTGAACGAAGTACTCACAAAGCTACATTCTGCTCCCTCAAACTTCGCCCGGAATGGCCTTTGTCACGCACTGTGGCTTTCCTGGGGCTTCCCACTCCCAATTTCAGCTCGAAAAAAAGAAAAAAAAAACGGACATTCCACAGAAACTGTACATAGGAAGAGATTGCCCTCGTTTCCTACAGCTCCGCAAAAATCTTTCTTTTTTCCATTCGAAAAAAAAAAGCTAATTTTATTTTTGTCATTTCATAAAAAAAAGGCGTGTGCAGGGGGGGAGGGGGGGGGGGGTCCCGTGTACAAATTGTAACGGTTACAAGTAATTTTATTACTTCAAAAAGTAATCAGATTACTCTTGTGATTACTGCCTAATAAAAGTAATCAACTGATTACAAAATTACTCCAAAAAGTAATCGATTACAAGTAATTTGATTACTTGTAATGCGTACGGTACAAGTCTGATCGTGGAAGAGCAAAGCTTATAAAAAGCGTAACAAATGGCCGAAGCAACAGGAAGAGCCTGCACCAGAGAACCCGCAGGCGAAAGCCGGTAAGTATAAGACCTAAAAGGTTATCCCACATTCTGGGCCTTCCAGTCCTTATCACCATAATGAATCTTCTGCATTTTATTTAATTTTTAAAGTACGCTTCTTATGAAACTGGTCTATAGTATATTTAACTAAAACTTCAAGTGTGTTCGAAGAATAACGATCTCCCAGTAATCGAAGAAATCCTGCGAAACATTCGATCTATTTTGATATTTTGGTTTCTAGTTTATTCAAATTTTCATTAATAGAGTTTTCTCCTACAGTGGCCACAAAATGCGAATGATGATTCGTAATTCCCTTTATACATATTTCCAAAAGAATCCCCCTTTATTTAATATTACCGCGCAAGGAATTAAATATTGTAACATTTACTATACGCGAGGAAGAATACTTACGTGGCAAACACCCTCCTGCTCGGTTTCGTCGCCCGCGCAGACGGCATTGTCCTCGAACATTAGGACATCTCGTCTCGAGGCCGCTTTGCAGACCTTGAAGGGCAAGATCTTCAGCTTGGTCTGCTTGAGCTTTCCGAAGCCTCCACTACCTGTTACAAAAGAAACCGCAGATGCGAGGAATTGAAATCAGTGACTGGTGGCACGCCCCCAGGCACGTGAACTTTTCTGCGATTGAGTCCAGCAGTAACCTGCAGCGCCACATGCCCCCGCGACGCTCGCGAAATTTGAGTTAGCAAGGCCCACGAGCAGCCGGAAAGGAGGGATTCAGGGGAAGTTTCCTCCTTTCTGACGCCAAGCGCCAGAAAGGAGGAAACTTCCCCCGGAACCCCTTTACATTAGTAAAAGAGGGAGGCCCTCTTCTTTTAAAGGGGTCATGAAACGCTTTTCCAACTTTTTCCTGTTTAGCTTTCCTCCTCAACTCATAAATCGCGCAATCTAGCGGAAAAATTCCCCCGCTAAATCTAGCGGAAAAATTTCCCCGTTAAACCTAGCGGAAAATTTTCCCCGCTAAATCTAGCGGAAAATTTTCCCCGCTATATCTAGCGGAAAACATTTCCCCGCTAAATCTAGCGGAAAGATTTCTCTGGGGGTCACGTGACCCCCCCGTGACCTTTGGGAGGGGGTCATGTGAACCCACCAAGGTCACGTGACCCCCCCCCCCCCCCCCCCGAAAACACGGGAACCTCAGTACCCTTCCCTCCTCCTCCTCAAGAGCTGCGCTCTGATTCGGCGTTACAGGGAGTTGTAAACGGCTTTCATTTTTATTCTAGATGTTAGTCAGGGATATATATATATATATATAAGAGAGATATGGAGATAGAGGGGAAGAGAGAGGAGCATATAGTGTCGTACGAAAAGATAGTAAACAAAGTTCCCAGTGGTCGATGGCTGCAGAATCTTTTATCGGATCACTAGTTCGTAATATGATAGCTCTTTGTACACAGTAGTTTCTCCTCAATTTTACTGTGCGAATGATTGCTATAGTTATCATTGACCACATCTGAATGAAATTATATAAAAGATGTGTGTTTGTTTCATGAAACTGGAACTCAGAGTCACTTCTCGTATAGGGCACTGCTAAGTGTAGGCGTTGAAAAAGGACCCTACTTTGGGAAGTTGTGTCTTCTTTCTCAATCAAATAATGCAACATGTTTTAATAGAAATGAATGCCGCAATAGAGTATAACAGGGTACCCAAATATAAAAAAATCGAAGGTGTTTTTTTTTATTCACATCGGAATTTTTCGTTGTTTGAATTGTTTTTTCATGTTTGCCTAAATATATGCCGACTATCGTATAACTCAGATACCTTATTTATTTTTGAATAATAGACATGTATAAGTAGGATACTATCTGCAAATTATATAATAATGATTAAATTGTATCATGAGATACAGGCCTCCAAATTTTGCCATTTGTCGTTCGAGCATGCATGTTTGTCAATTTTTAGAAAAACAAATAAAATGGAAATAAATAATATTATTTTATATTACAAGCAAGCTATACTCATAGTTTCCGTTTAAAAAGTATTGTAATTCTCCTAATATTATCGTTTTAGTTACTCACACCCAAACGTGCCCCCTCCATCAGTGCGCGTTAATGCAACGGTCCACCTCTTGATGCCTTACGATTTTTCCTGTCCCCAAATAATTTTTCTGGTCAAAACTAAGCTTGGATTCATTTATACCCGACGCTAGACTATAGCATATAAAAACCAAAGTTGATTTAGAAATGTCGACCAGCCACCCTTTGGTCGATCTTGTCTGAAATCACCCACTTTTAGTTTCTCGGTAATCAATATATTTTTCATCGCGAGCTTCAACAATTGATAAACGTGGCTCGCGGATGATGCAATCAATAAATATCAGCAAAGTGTCAAAAATATTTTTTTTTGCCAAAAACGTTATTGGGACGATGCAGGGCTCCGATTTTCTATATAAACAATTTCCTCAATGCTTGATGACTCGACTTTGTTAGAATGGCTCATGATGGCTTGCCATCCGCGCCGGCTGCTTGGGCTGTCGTCAATCCGGCTGGGATTTCTGTCGTTTCTCTGAGTCTAGTTTCGTTGTATCTGTCTTCTCGCAGCTTGAATTTCCCCGAAAGTAGCGCGTAGTCGAATTAAGCTTTCTGAACTCAAACAATAGCTGTGGCATACTTCGACGTCGAGCAACAAACATTTATTTGGAAAGTCTCAGCAAAGGCGAATGTTTTAAAGGTTCATTAGTAGCTTTTAAGTAATTAATTTGACACTCCTCACTTTATAATCACCACATGACCATCACTGCGGTCAAAAACGTTATTCCAGAGGAATCTTTTTTTTCTTTTTTTAAATTTCAAGTGGCTTTGTTTTAAGAGAAGTATTCTCAGTCTTTGAAGTAATACTACATACCGCCACACAGGTACTAAGTACTTCGCAATTTTTCCCGCAACAAGATTGAATTGCGGGACCTTGCAATCGGGTCGCTAAGAGCAAACGAAAACATTTTTTTTAAATACCACTTCAGTTCGGAATAACGACAACTTTGAGTATGTGCTTGATAAAGTTACAAAGAACTGTGAACTGATACAAATAAATAATGCTATAAAGTAGCATTTAATTTGTTTTGTTGCATTGACTGAATAAGATATTTCTATTAGTTGTAAAACTGATGGGATACAACGATAAGATTAACGTAACGTGGTGCATGCTCGTATTAGACCGGTGATTTACGTGGCTTAGAAGCGTTGCTTTAACGCTAAAAAAAGGAAACATTTGACAGTTTAACAAGATTTGCAAAGTGTATCTGACCTCTTGTCTCGCCCCATCCGGTGCTGAAGCAGGTGCTGCCCAAGGGTACAGCCTCGTCCTTCTCTGGTAGACAGACTGGCCTCACGGTGACGGAGTGATTAACCGGCATGTCAAGTTGCAGCAGAGCAATATCGTTGTTCATGTTGAGACCCCAGTATTTCTAAAAAAAAAAAAATCAAGCAGGTTTGAGGAGGAGGAAGACAATGGAAGTTCCGTTGCTCATACGCCGATATACTGAGAAAATATAAAACCGACAGAAGTAAAGTGGACTTCCTGTTTCTTTATTTAGTTTAAATTTATATGGGGTTCAACGTAAGACGGCCTATGTAGTGCAACGTGACTTTAGTGCAACGTAACCCAAGCACATAAAGGGGGGGGGGGGGGGCGAATGAGCAAGAAGCCTCACTTCCACTGTGGTTGTAATCACGTTCTTCTACTTATTTTAAAGCTTGCTGACTTGATGGGGGTGTATTCCGCGCCAAACGGGGTGGTGAAACCTGCTGCACACCTCAAGGTTTACCTCCATATAAGGCCCTGCACTTTTGAAACTGTGATCTTAGAACACTATGCACTACCAAGGGTGACACTGATTGGACACATGCTCTATCTAAATTTTATACATGCCAAGCTGCTAATCTCCAACACAAAACTACATAAAAAGCCTCGCCGCTAGACTAGTATATATTATAGAGGATCGTACGAATCTTGGCGGCGGAAGGCTTTCGTTTCGGTATTTTTCGTTACATCCTTGAGTGGTGGAGAGAAGCCCGTCCAAGAAATGTTTGTGTTCTATAAGTCTGTCAGGGTGAGGATCTGAGTATTAGCTCTCGCTATTTGTGAGCATTCCCAGCTTACCGGGTGCTTGACGATGGTCTTAACCCTCCTGGTGACGACGTTGTCCTCCTCCATCATGTCGTGCAGGCCCAACTTGACTGTCACATCTCTCGGAAGCTTGCTAGAACATCGAACACAGCTTAAGAACCATCGCGTATGAGCCCTTGCACGAAGTTGATTATCTAGTCAAGCAGTTTTTGAAAGCCTGACTGCTCGTGCTTTGACGAATACAATTATACAGAGTTCGAGATTTTGCGTTCCATTAATTACCCACATCTAACACTGCCAGACCGTCCTCCAGACCTTGCCGCCACTGAATAAACTTCCCTACTCCTCCCCCCTTTCGCCCCTTCTATAGACGTATGAATCAATCAACCAGTGAATCGGCCAATTAATCAACCAATCAATGAATTGGAAACGCACAAGACACGTGCCACGAGTGCGTGCTCCACCGCCATTCGCTTCCAAGGGCCGCTCATTAAAGCCCCTCTATCCTGGGAAAAGTGGCGCCATTCATTGTTGTGGAAATGCTCGAGACACGTGCCGCGCGCCATTTCCGGAAAGAACATGGCGCCTGAAAACTAGCCCAGTGCTGTGATGTGCCCCCATGATACTCGCAAGGGCTGCACGTTGCAGTGCCTCGTGCACTGACGCACCTTGTGCTACTTTTAAAACATAAAGGGGCTTTACCGCTCACTTCTGTGCTGCGCCGCCATTTGCTTCTAAGGGCCGCTCGAGACACGCCCGAGCCTCGTGCACTGGAGCATATGACGCTACTTTCAAGACCAACGAAAACACATCGATGGTCTGAACAAAAAAAAACAACAACAAAAAAACCGCATGTGGTGAATGATGTTGATTGGGGCGAAGCTCTGGTGGTGCTTGTCTGCGTAGACGCTGAGCCGCAGCATGCCGAGCCTTTCGTTCGTTTTCATCCATGTCACGCTGCGGTAAAATGCTCAAATACTTTTATATAACTACGTTCCATACCACACATTCTCTTTCTGACATGGATGAAAACGAACGGAAGGCTCGGCATGCTGCGGCTCACCGTCTACGCAGACAAGCACCACCAGAGCTTCGCCCCAATCAACATCATTCACCACGTGGAGATGCGGTTTTTTTTTGTTTTTTTTTTTGCCCTACACGAGCATGGGAGCACGTTCTCACGTGCTCGTGAGCACGAGCACCCGACGCCGGACATCGGACGAACATACGGACATGGCTAGCCCCTAAAGGAGTATTCACACGAGGGAGAAATCCCGGGGATTTCTCCCCGACACGCGCGTATCACGAGATGAAAACGCGAGGCCTTTGCACATCGCAAAGCCAGACGTTTTCGTCGTGGGATGCGCGTGCCGGGGAGAAATCCCCGGGATTTCTCCCTCGTGTGAATACCCCTTAAAGGGGTATTCACACGAGGAAGAAATCCCAGGGATTTCTCCCCGGCACGCGCATCCCACGACGAAAACGTCAGGCTTTGCGATGTGCAAAAGCCTCGCGTTTTCGTCTCGTGATGCTCGCGTGCCAGGAAGAAATCCCCGGGATTTCTCCCTCGTGTGAATACCCCTTATTAAGGAGCTTCGCCCCTAAAAGAAAAATAAACGTGTGGGACAAAATGGCGAGATGCCACCACCCTAAGCAAAGCGCACATGAAGGCAGCCTACTTTTCTCTATCCGCCCTATTTTGCACGTAAGCCATCTTTCGTTTGCAGTGGTTTTGTTTTTGGTGGGTCTCACAAGCGCGTCGTGTTGATTCGCCTGCCAAGGAGACACACCGTTTGCAATTTCTGCATATAAGCTAAAGTGATTGAGAAAAAGAAAATGAACTATGTCTAGACGTCAAAATATACACAAAAGGAATTGTAATAGTAGAAGTACCACCTTTCTAACAAATGAGGGAACAGCTATAACTGCCTTTTTTCGCTACTTAGTTTTTTAATGTAAGCTTCTCCCAGCTTGCTAAAATGTACAGCTTACCTATACATTAGGCACTTCACTAGTATGTGTTCATACAACTGACACTTCCAGTTCTTCAAAACGTAGTCTAAGTTGTGACATTAAGCAACGCAAACGTGACGTTTTGCATTGCCTAATGTCACAACTCAGACTGCATTTCTTGGTCTAAGCATATGTTTCGACATCGTCGTTTGCTGAGCTGCCTCTGTAAGTTGCGGGGATTGGCTCTCCGATTGTTGTGCGGGAAAGTAGACGCACGGGCTTTTCTTTTAAAGTGGAAAGTGTGGTAAAATTATTTGTGCCACATCGGCCTCATAACTCCAAGTTTGATGGCAAGCCAGCTTAATATTTCCCAGTTTACGAAAACTGGCTAGCATTGCCCGGTTTACGAACAATCGCTGATTAACTACCGAGCGGCTATTCTCCTAATCAGTGTATCAAGGGTAAATAAGCACCGCAGTATGCCTTGTGCAAATTAAGTAATAACGAGGAAACCAGCGCCGGAAGAAATAATGAAGACCGCATTTGTTGCTGCTGCAAAGCCGACACGATCCTGAAAGTTCATTCATTCGAAAAGCGTTTGCATGTATAGTCGGTGACAGGTCAAGAACGAAGTACAAGCTTCTTGCACCTCTTTCCACTTTAGTAGTGCGAACACTGGAGAGGAAGCGACCTCCTCTCCACCGTTCGCTCCGCTGAAGTGGAAATGGGTGGGAGGATCTTCCACTTCGTTCTTGACCTGTCACCGATTATAGTTCCAGCTGCCGCACCTCAAAATACATTAACCATTTAATTACCACAACAACTTTGTTATTTTAAAATCGTAGACAAGCTGGTTCATAACTTTAAGGCCAAGTCCAAGACGGGGTACGATCAAAAAATGGACTTGCGCATTTTGTCTGTTGAAGATTCCGTGAGCTGTTAGACGATCTCACTATGCGCGACCGCGATGAATTGGCTCACATACGGTGGTCAATGCTCATGTCGGTGCACATCGCTTCGCAACTGAACAAAATATTGGTCACCGATTGCGGTCTCACATAACCTATGTACGAATTAATTTGATTGGAAGTTTGTAAATGAAAGCGGAACAAGCATGCGCCTGTATAATTATAGTGGGAACAGTGGCGTGCGGTCTGGCTTTACATATGTTTATTTGATTACGGGTCTTTTTTATCGCAATGGCAGCTTTTGTCCAGTCCCATGGAAAGCTAGATCGCTTCGAAAACACACGCTGGTACAGTCACTCGCCGGTACTCGGCGTCGTCTTCTTCCATTTTAGTTAGCTCCTGGACTCACGGAGATTGGCTTTCCCGTAATTGGCTCTTTAAATTGGTTCCAGCAACGTCACGCGGCGAGGATATGCCATTATGAGCCGATTAGGAGGCCATGACATGTTCTCCAAACGTTTTTGAGGTCAGCGCATGTACCAGGGCACTAATGCTAACACTAATAACGCGTTAAAAAAAAAAAACAAAAAAAAAAACGAATCAATAATCGGGAGACTGAACGACTCACTTTTTGACGCAGTGGGCCGCAGTGAGAACCCAGCTGTTGTTGATGAGGCTTCCGCCGCAGAAGTGGCCAAGGACGTGAAACTGTGGATGCTGGAGGCTCACCTGCCAGGGCCAGCTGTGAGGGACAGCCTCCTGGCCTCCGACGACGCGGTCCTCTTCGGACGTCACGGGCGCGATCAATGGCGCGCCGCATTTGGCTCGGCGAAGCCTTCTTTTTGCTTGCGGCCCTGCGAAAATAATCCCGGTTCCAAGCCGTCTGCAGTTCATCTGCGCTGTGGCTCGGAGATGAACTGCGGCGATAGCCGAGGCCTTGCACGCTCTGCTAAACACTCTGCTGAAGATAAGCTTGCACTGAGGGTATGAGAAAGGCATGGCCTGTATTTCGAACGCCCTGACATCGTGGAGGGAATGTGCACCGAGCGTTTCCCCGTTAAAGTTTTCGGAAACACATATCTGCTAAACGTCACGGTTTCCCGTGACGTCAAGTGACCTTGTAACGTCGAGTGCCATGACGATACAAAAAAAAAAAAAAAAAAAAAAACGTGCATGAGTCCGCTGAGCAAATCACGTCCAACCAACGGTAAACGTTGAAGTATCGACGACGAGACGTTTTGTCAGACGGTGGTTCCTCTGTCCGTAAGTCACTGACGGGGTGAGCATCGCACTGAGGTCTTTCAGTCGCCCCGCCTCCAGCGCGATCTTCCTACTCTCGATAGCACTTCGCCGTCTACACCTAGGATTGGTTACAACCGAGTGTGCTGTGCAGCCTTGTGATATCTTACGACGAGAGCGCACACTGCAGTCCCGGACCATTTGAGATTGCCGTATACAGAATACAGCGCATCACCTTTATCATAAAACTTGAAGAACTTTGGCAAATCACAATTTACCGTAGATTGTATGCACATTTGATCTCGCCAATACTTCAAAACCTCTACTCTGTAAAATGCAATGCCAGGGCCGCCTCACAAGCGAGCACGAGGCTGGAGAGCGCATGCGATCAAACGCAAGTGTGTAAACCAGCCATTAGCGCGTGGAGGCGCCGCTAAAGTTTGACTGCAGGCCAGGAGCGCGTTCTGAAGCCTGGAAGCCGGGCGTCATAAAGAGATGCCCCGGCGCTTCTTGTCCTCTAAGCGATCAGCCCCGCATACTGGGCACGAGCCCATGTCTTGACATATGATGCCACCGGACAAAGTTAACGCTTCGCGTTTCTTACAAGTGTCGACAACCTTTGTCGTGCATGTGCGCAAAACATATGTACGCCGCGAGCGAGTGCTCCTGCACTGGTGCATTTGTCCCATATATATTGAAAGGCAAACACAAACAGGTCCAGTAGTTTTACCGACAAAGCAGGGGTGCAAACACAACACTCACGCCAAGAACCGTTTTTTTTTTGTACATTTCATAGAGCAAACATGTTATGTATATTGTGGTAAAAAAGGCTGTAATTGGCAGAGGCTTACCAATATCTTCGCAGAACTTTTCGTCCGATGCATCGCTGCAATCGTAGATTCCGTTGCAAACGCGTGTGGGCGGGATACAGTCCCGATTTTTGCACTGGAACATGTCTTCGCTGTTGCAGACAGCTGCACCACCGGAAATATACGAAGGCCACATTGAAAGTCATACTTTTCTCTACAGTGTGTATCACAAATGATTTTGCCGAGAGCGGGCCTACGGTGCTTCGGACTACAACCACGGTACAGCGCACGCGTCTCCTGATTCCCCAAGTACTGCGGTGGCGAGTGTAAGGTAATTATATAAAAGACGAATGGCAAATCAAAACAATATAGTCGGTGTTAGTCGAGTTGCGGTGGCGTCGTTCTGACGTCACCGCAACTCCTGCTCAAGAAGCAGACGGCTTTCTCTCCATATAAGAACGTGAACGTAATAAGCCACAACCAGCGTAGACTGTCATTGTTTGCAAGGATGTTATGGCGAATTCCAAAGGTCGCTTTAGAGCGCGCCGGGATCAGTAGACCAGATCCGAGATGGAGCACGCCATCCGAACAGAGTCGCTCCGCCTCCGGATCCCATGTGGAACATGACTACTCCTCCAAGATCGGCGGATGCCTTCCCGTCATTCACCTTCCCGGGTATATCCCCCTTCCCGTGGCCCTGGATCTTGAAGCACGTGTTTTCGCAATCGCAGCGCCAACAACACATGTTCAACGCACAAAGCTAATCATGATGTAAAAGATGCGTGTCGATCGGCGATGTGTGTCAGCGTAAGTTTACTTGCCTCTTCAATCGGAAAACTCGTAAACGGTGTCCAAGTATACGTCTCGATTTTCAGCCTCTTCTGCGGAAATCGGATAAGACAGTCGAATTCATGCGGGACATTGCGAGCAATCCTCGTCGTCGCTGCTACTCGAGCCGCTGCTGCTGGAGGAGCTGCTTGAGCAGCTTGACGACGAAGTGTCATCAAGCAGCAGCAGCAGTAAAGCGGGCGGTACTTCGCGAGCGGCCATTACGAATTCTTCCGAGGCGAAGCGAGTTGCACCGGCGCCCGGCGAGAAAGGAAGTTGCGTTTGCGCACCGAGAGCTGACCAGGTCATGGCTTCTGGTCGAATACGCCGAAATCGGCGGGGTGAATTTTTTCGGATCCGGATCGAGATCTGGAGTGGGAGCTGATCCAAAAGGACGAGTGGAACCACGTCCGTCTTGATCCCGATGACTCAGTGAAATAGGCGTGCTCCAGAAAAGTCGACTCTGATGCGCTCCAAAACGGCCGTGGAATCCGCCATTAGAAAACTTGATAAGATTGACTCCAAATTATTTTTAGGCGAAGACATCATTGTCCATCTTTAAGGCAACCAAATAACGATCTGCTGTTGCCTTTTAGTGGCCTTGTAACATTCTACTCAGTTGAGGGGAACAATCGGTCCGTCCACTTTTCCCTTCATGTTCATGCTCATGTAATTGTTTTAACGGAAACTTGGTTAAACGGGAAGGTGCGTAATGATGATATTTTTCACGCGAATAAAAAGTATAATATTTACAGGAATGACAGAGTAGGTAAGAGCGGTGGTGGAGTGTTAATTGCAGTAGCAGCTTACATGAGTTCTTTCTGCATAGACACGATTTGTAATTTAGAAATTCTTTGTGTGTGCGTTGGTAACAACCATCAAAAGTGGATAATAGGGATGCGCTATCGACCACCCTCCTACGCGTCATCATTTGCTAAAGCCTTGCATGATTCATTAAATGACATTAAGGTGCGTTGTCCCAGTTCACCTATTTTTCTTTTCGGTGACTTTAATTATCCTTCTATTGTTTGGTCTGAATCTATAGTTGCAACGACTTTATCTTCTGAATGCAAAGACTTTGTCTCCCTGTGTCTAGATTTTAATTTAACTCAGCTAGTCACGAAACCCACGCGAGTGACCCCATTGATAGCAAATGTCTTGGATCTTGTTCTAACAACTCATCCTGATATTGTTTCCCCGATAATACACCTCGCAGGACTTAGTGATCATTCCATATTGCATTTTGATGTTAAAGGAGCAGTGCCTAAGCCATCAACTCCCACAAAGCAAATTCGTAATTATGCTAAAGCTGACTTCATCAAAATTAATCATGACCTCGAAGCTTTCTTTGACGTGTTTTTAGCAGGTTTCTCGAGCCGGTCAGTAGAAGAAAATTGGCAACTTTACAAGACCAAAGTACACATGCTTATCAATCAGCATATTCCACTCAGAACAGCCTTTGAAAACTCAGTCACCCTGGTTTACTAGGGCCCTAAAACGCCTCTCCAAAAAGAAAAAGCGTTTATTTCGCGCTGCAAAATTCAGCACATGTGAACGTCACTGGTCGAGTTATCGCACTGCTGCTGAAGTGTATAAAAGAGCAATTTAAGACGCCAAATTAGATTTTTTCACACGCAGCTTACCAGCAATGTTGATAAATAACCCTAAACAATTTTGGAACATTATGAACAAAAAATCCCATTCTTCAATCACTTCAAGTGGTGAAAGTATGCCTAGCGAAGTCTGCGCAAATGTATTTAATCGCGTTTTCATTGATTCTTTTTTAAGTGATAGACGCCTTGATACCCCACTGCTGGTTAGCACTGATTACCTGCCGATGAATTCGATTCCTCTTGATTACGTTGGAGTGATTTCAATTATAGAAAATCTCAGATTGTCCTCCTCAACAGGAGTGAATGGTATCAATTCAAAATTCCTCAAAAATACTAAATTTTACTCATCCATAATATTAACTATGTTGTTCGAACAGTCAATCAAAGATGCCGTTCTTCCTCTCGACTGGAAGATGGGGAAGGTGGTACCTATACTCAAAGCTGGTAACAAGCATTCTGCTCATAATTACCGCCCAATCTCAATAACCAGCATACCTTGCAAACTACTTGAGCATGTCATCTTCTCCCACATTGTCAACTTTTTAGAGTCTAACAATTTTTTCAGCCCTTCCCAGCATGGATTTGGAAAAACATTTTCATGTGAAACTCAGCTTCTCTCTTTCACCCATGACCTCCATTGCATTTTAGATCGAGAATCCCAGGCAGACTGCATTTTCCTAGACTTTGCAAAAGCGTTCGATAAAGTGTCTCATAAACTTCTGATTCTGAAACTTTCCAAGCTTAACTTAGATCCTAACATACTTGCATGGATTCAATCTTTTCTGTCTGATCGCTCGCAATTTGTTACTGTCAATAATAGTAACTCATCTCTTGTATCTGTTACTTCCGGGGTTCCTCGGGAATCTGTTCTAGGGCCATTGCTATTTTTAATTTATATTAACGATCTCCCAATTAACATCTCCTCGTCTATGTGTCTGTTTGCTGACGACTGTGTCCTTTATCGTGACATAATGGATAATCATGGCACCAGTGTTCTACAGTCCGACATTAACACTATCATCGAGTGGTGTGATTTATGGTCAATGAGCCTTAACACTAACAAATGTAAGTCTATGCGTGTATCTCGATAATCTTCTGACAATCCTAACTATTTTCTTGATCAGGTTTATATGAAGCCGGTGTCGTCTTATAAATACCTCAGCGTGCACATAACATCTGACCTTTCATGAAAGAATCATATTCAGTATGTTTCCTCTAACGATAACCGCATGTTAGGTTATGTTAAACGAAATTTTTCATTAGCTCCAGTTGCACTAAAGTTGACCCTTTATAAAACATTAATTCGTCCAAGGTTGGAATATGCAGCCTCTGTCTGGGATCCTGGACAAGTCACCCTCATCACTGCATTGGAAGCAATTCAAAACAGATCAGCTCGTTTCATCCTTTCTAACTACCACAACACTGCTAGCGTGACTGCCATGAAAGCTACTCTATCATTGCCGCCTTTAGCCTTTCGTCGTAGCATTTCTCGCCCTTCTTTATTCCATAAGATTTATTTCCACAATTCTATCCTGCGCGACAAATTAATCTCCCGTCCTTTTTACGTTTCTTCTCGCAACGATCACAATCACAAGGTTGGTATTCCAATTTCTAACACAACAACATTTCATTCATCGTTCGTCCCTCGTACATCACGAGAATGGAACCACCTTCCCGGGACAATTGCCACAATCACGGACTCTGACCTTTTCAAAACTGCAATTACTAATCTTTTATTTATTGAGTGTGTTTAACTTATTTATGGGCTTGTTTTCCATTTTTTTTTGTATTTTTCTTTGCTCTCCCCCTTTGTAATGCCTCTCTGGCCTTGAGGGAAAAATAAATAAATAAATAAATATTTCTCAAAAATTGACCCTTTCCGAAATTGTGAAATGATGCATAGATCATGCGCAGCGGCCATTAGTTGGTCTCATCGCTTCCGGCGTAAAACCCATGATTGGTTCCGAGTTCGCGTCGAGCAGTGACGCAGCACTCGTCATGAATGCGTTTCAATCCAAGTGTCGGTTCGGACGCTGACGAAGCGCTCGTGTCCAATGCATGCTCACAGTTTATGTATGACCAACTAATGGCGGCCGCGTATAACCTACGCATAATTTCAAAAAGGGCCTATAACAACACCTACTTGACGCATTGGTCGCCCGGTAACGAATCCGGAATCCCCGTCCGTTCTGAATGGCGTTGGTGCTGAAGACGATTTTGACGTGGCCTCGGCGGGACAGCCACGGTCTGGGCCGCTGAGATGAACACAGCCTGAGAGCGTCGACCCAGATGTCCTTCAGTGCCTCCTGGACCTCGATGCGGTCACTGTTGCACATGCTGTTCACGTCCAAGTCCAGGTCCTCGAAGTCAAGCCTGATTCTCTGTGTCCACAAAATCCATTCGAAAAATAAATAAATAAATAAATAAATAAATAATAAAAATAGCGCGTTTTTTATTAACGTTTACAGTCACCGACGGCTTCAGGGTTCCGCCATCTTCAACGGTTGGAGTGCGCTTGGACGCGTCATAATCATATTACGAAGCCTTGCAAAGGCGTCGTAATCAGATTATGGCCGCGCCCAAGCGCACCCCAAACGAGCAAGATGGCGGCGCCCTGGGACCTGAGCGTCCTGCTTCGTGATTGGACCTTCGGGTTTCTTATCGGATACTGCCGCAATCTAATTGGCTAAGGAGCGATAATCGGATAGGCGCTACTCGCCACGTCCCCCATTTCTCAATTAGCCAGTGACCATAGTCTCACTTATGGCGAATTCGCGTGGTCAATCGTCGGCAACTTATTTTGCCGGAAAACCGGCAATAGTGTTCGCGTGGTCAGTTTCCGGCCGGCGCGCACCGTTCGGGTGGTGGTTCTCCGGCAAGCACCGGCAACTTTCCGGCGCTTTTTCTGCCCGAGCTCCGAACGGCCGGGCGAGTAGGCGCCAGACTGTATCCGGTGTCGTCACTTCCGAAATGAGAGAGAAGGTCAGTGAGAAAAAAAATGAACGAAAGAAGGAAACTGATTTGAAGTAACTTTAGCAGCCGCTACGAAAGTCGATCCAAGTCGTTGGGACATGAGTGACGGCGGCGACAGGTGCGACAGGCTCTCACTAGCGGTGTCGCGCGGGCAAGGGGCGAAGTAAACTGCCACCGTCTGGCGTTTCGTGTTCGGGTGGTGAGGGTCACGTGGTGTGCCGCCGGCGCGTTTCTGGTTGCCGGTTCCGCCGGCTCGTTCTCGCCGGCGACTGACCACCCGAATTCGCCATTAGTGGCCACTCAACCAGCTCACTTCACAAACTCGCGAACAAGACAAGCTCGTTGGCGACTAAACCATGCAACAAATGTAAAAAAAAAAAAACTAAAAAAAACGAAGAAAAAAACGTTATTTTACTTTTGATCGACGTCACGGAGGAGCGCGGGAACTTCAAATTCAGATTTCTGAAACTATGTTGTGTAATTTTTCTTGGTAAAACGAGGTTCCCAGGCTGCAATTGCTGAGAGTGATGTCTGTGGGTATCATGTCCAATCGTTTGTGAAAAAAAAAATGTGGTTTTCAGTGCCGCTTTACAGGGGTACGGAAAAAAAACTGAAATATAAAAATTTCTTTTGGAAATGAGTCAAGCGTGATGGACAATAACCATAAATGATAATCGCACGTTTATATTTTTAACGACCGGCTATAGTTTTCCTTCCAAACGGTGCACTCGAGCAAGCGCTGGAAGAGAAACGAACGGAGAGCGCGATGCGTCATGGGATATCCGGCGCAAACAAAAACAGAAAAAAAAAATAGATTCCCCGCATTCGTGACGTAGGAAGGCTGACGTGGTTATGAGCTTCCACAACATTGTCAGCTTAGGGCTGAACGAGGTGGGGAATGCAAGTTTTGTACGAGTTTTGAGCGACGGACTAATCTTCTAGGGTGAGAATGGCTGTGTCCGGGTTGGTCCTGGTCCGGGTACACAAACGAGAGTCCAAGTCCATCCTTTCCCTTTTCTTGGACTGTTTGGTACAATGCGCGATTTGTGAGTTAAGGAGGGAAGCTAAGAAGGAAAATGTTGAATTCCAAATAGCGGCGCTGCTCCGATGGAACTTGCTATACGTAGCAAGTTCCCCAACGTTGCTAGATTACCTCCCAAATAGGCTCCATATGCATCCACCAGATTCACATTGAAAGATCGTTTAATTAGTTTTAAAATTAGTTTACTTGTGCCTTTCAATGAAAGATGCGTATTTTTGAGGCTATGCTGCAACATGCAGCACATTAAAGCTAAAAAATGAGCGCTGGAATTTCGTTTCCGCACCCCTTTAATTTGCACGCATGCATGGTGCCTGGAACGCGCCTCCGAATGGTGTGTTTAGCTCATTTTATCCATCTCTCGATTTTCGCCTCGAATTGCTCACGCGTACCGGGTAAGCAAATATCTGTGAGCCGGCTAAAGGCTAACACGTAAATCGCTAAGGCGTGTTTACCTATAGGGTGTTTTACTGAAAAAGGGGCAAAGAAAGAAAAGGACGAAAGGGCTACCAGCACTTCTCTCCTCACTGAGTGGTTAGAAACGAACGAAAGACCCGGATGAACGTCTTGGACGCGTGTGTTTCTCCAAGTTTGGTGGTTTTCTTCGCGGTTTTCTCTATCTTATTTTACTCCAGGTATAATTAGACCTACCTAGAGCAATCAATGACGATAATCCCCTGGTCATCGGGACATCACTGTTCGGTAACAGGCTGAATGAATAACAACCAAAAGCGGAGAATATTATCGGAGGATATATCGATATCGTGCACGGTATCCGACAAGCAACTGCGGCTGCAATGTCTTCAAACTCCATCGCTTTTCAAATGGCGAAAACCTCCGGCGGCATTGGTTGCGTCCGTAAACATAAAAATACTTTTCCCAATGCGATCCTCTCGAGTGTGCTCGGAACATTTCGTGAATAGAGCACGCACCGATTTTAACCGCTGTACTGTAAATGAACATGGGCTACGCTCGAAAGGGGGGTGCAAGTTTTCTCGTGAGAATCGCTGTTTCAGCTTGCAAATTTTCGTAACCTAATTTATTCTAATGTTGATATCTTGCAGTGGTAGCATTGACTTAATTTTATTGTCTACAACGCTTAGTTAAAGGCTCATCTTCACCGCCGGGTATACGCCTCGCAAGAGGGCTGATTTTCGTCTTCTGCGCATGAGAAAGGAAGTAGCGGTGACGTCAGAACGCCGAGCCCTGATTGGCTGATCGCGACCCCCTATCTTAGCGTCGTCTGCTCCTTTGCAACGTCGTCTGCTCGCAAGGTCGTCTGCGTAGGTTTTACCTTTCCTGCGACTTTCGGAAGTCAAGCGAACTCGACTGCGCCTTTCAGAGAGGGCAGACGAAATAACTCGAGCGGTTCGTTGTTTTTGTCTAACAATTAGCAGACGCGCACCAAGGAGGAAAGTCAAAAGACTCACTGGCGAGGTGTCCCGAGGCGCCGAGGTTTGTTTGCCGTGCTAAGAATCGAGAGTGAGGGTGGTTAGTGTCCGCAAGTTCCTTCCCAAATACTTTTCCCCTCCTTTCGTGTGCGGCGAGACTCCTCACTCTTTAACGGCGTCGGCGGGTTGGCGCAGTTAACGTCGTCTGCTTTACGTCTGCTAGTCAAAGCGATGGCTGCTTTACCTTTCCTGCGTCTGTCGGAGATTCACCGCTTTTTTTACCGGTGAGAGTCACCGCTGCCTCGGAAAACAAGGAGATGACAAGTGGAAGAGCTCTTAATCTAAAATTGAGGTCAGCGATTAAAGTATAAAACGGGAACGGTTCACAAGGATTGCGCGGACATATTCCATTCAGCAGGCCAGCCGGTCGTGGGCAGACGGTCGCCGAGTCGGAGTGTTTTGCTAGGCCTATCGGCCGTGCTCGCTTGGTCGTTGTCGGTGGAATCGTGGCCGTTGGAGCTTTTCCCGGGTGTTTGTGGATCCAGCGTTCTTGTTCGTCGTGGTGTGTTTCAAGTACTTTTTACTTTTTTCTTGCTGCTTGAAGTCTGGACGCGTGAGGAGCGCACGTAGAAAAAGAAACGTCCTTTGGTCGTCGCGACCGCGACGCTGTCGGCTATGCTGATTTGATCGTAAGAAGTGCGTAAGTTGCGTTTTTTTTTTATATTCGCGACACAGTAACAAAATATTGATTGGGTAGTCTTTTGACCACACAATGAATCACCTGGCAAAAAATAAAACAAACATATTGGGGGGTGTTATTTTCCCTTTATTCTCCACAAAGTTTTCTGAATACTCTCCCCGGAATGTTACTTTTGAGTACACGCTTTTTCTTTGGCGCATTCGGAAATGCCTATGCATACATGTGCACATTGCGCACTCGGTACACCTAACATTAAGACTTTAGGCTTTAGGGTCCCGGGACGTTTATAAACAATATGACTTATTAGGCTTAGCCGCGCATAGAACAGCATACATTACGAAACTTGCAAAACTATAATGCAGAAGGGCACCCTTACCTGATAGTCCGAATCAACGATTAACTCTACCGAACCGTAGAAATTCGCAGGGTAGTTCGTTTGATTCATATAACCCGGACTGACGACGTAGCCATCAAGTGCGTCGAGGTGTATCAGATTTCTCTTTTTTTTCATCGTCAGCACATAAAGGTCATCCGCCAGGCCTGCGCATATAAAACAGTAAAAGTTTGAATACGCCCTAAATGGCTGCTATGCACACCTTTGCATTTTACCATGTTCGGTGCGTTGCCTCACTTTCTAACCGTTTAACACACTGCCGTCAGTTATTATGTAACCCTAGAACCCTTTCGATCACCGCATATACTGTAAAACCCTTAATGTTCGCGAGCCCTCAATTTTCGCGAATTTCACGAATTGAAGAATTCGCGAAATTTAAGGGCGCGCGAAAATTTCGGTCCTGAAGATTTTCAATGCAGGCGTCTGGAATTCGCGAAATTTAGTGGTCGCGATTATGTCATATGTGACCTACTCGCGAAAAATAGGGGCCGCAAGAATAAAGGGTTTTACAGTATCTACATACTGCATATTCGGTGGTCCCTAATCCGTCCAAAATTAGAATATGCTGCTGCTGTGTGGGACCCCGCTCACCCGTCACTAATTGCTCTTCATGAATTCATTCAAAACCGCTCAGCTCGTTTCATATTGACAAACTGTCTTCGCACTGCCAGCGTTTCTACTATGAAAAATACTCCAGGTCTGCCGTTACTAATTCACCCACACAAAAAAAAAAATCTCTTTGTTTGTGTCTTTTTCATAAAATATTCCATCAAAAAGTTACCTTTCGTTATAAAGTAATTACTTCACCATTCTATATATCTGCTCGCATTGATAATGCAGAGGCGAGCAGATATGTAGAATGGTGAACTAAACACTTTATGAAAACGCCTCTCGCATTGATAATGCGAGAGGCGTTTTCATATAGTAATTACTTCACCATTCTACATATCTGCTCGCATTGATAATGGGGAGGGGAATTCCAAGCGCTGCCAATCGTCTGAGATGGGCAGCGCAATCTAGGCGAGTGTTCTCTCGTTTTAGGGGGTTCAAGAGAACTCGGTACTTGAGCACAACCAAACGTATTTGTGTAAACCATGTCGCACAACCAACGATAAGCGAGCGGTTGTGTGTAACTATTATTAAATCGCAAAATGCTTTATAACGAAGCCCCCTACTCCCAGAAAGTCGTCCGTTTGTCCGTCCGAACACACCTTATGGCAGGGCATGTCGTCTCAACCAGCGTGGTTACCACGGCAACATAATGAAAACAATGCGCGCAAGCGCTAACTACTGGAATGAAACCAATGTACGTACAGACGCGTTCAGGCAGCTGTGCACGTGTGCCGTCATATCCGACCTTCAGTTTTTGTTACCTCTTATTCAGTTCGCTTCACTTAATCATTACCGCAGCAGGACAGGTTATTGTCATTTTAGATTCTACTGCGTCCTTCTCTCCAGCATAGGGCATTGTGGAGGCATCTCGGTAAGACGAAAGAAAGGTCGGCAATGGCGACTCTAATCTGGCGGGTTTAAAGCGTCTATACGATACGGCCTGTGCACAGGCCGCACCTGGCGGATATATTCCGCACGTAAAGGAATTCTCGTAAACCTTCTAAGAAGCGCAAGCTTTATTGGGGAACAAAGAAACTCATATCACACGGAAATCATAATGCCGCACGTTATCTGTAATTCCCAAAATCTGCCCCGTTCTGTCAAAATAAAAAACCTTAAAAAAATTAAAACAAAAAAAATGTATAGTCCGCAGCGATAGATAGTTCTCACCGCGCAAAAATGTCCTGCGGACTATATATAGTCCGGAATTTACGCCGTATCATTTTTTTCGGAAACCGCTACAGATGTGAGTAAAGGGATATGACATCACTCGTTACAATAGTCACTGAGAGTTTGAGAAAGGCAGGGTGTGGTTCAGTACGTTCAAGCATCTTGCATCATGATTGGTTCTTCGGCGTTCTTACTAACGCCGCAATCTTATTGGCTGCGGACCGAAAATGAGATGCCCCGCAGGTCCCCTCACGCCCTGCGCTTCATAAGTTCTCGTTGACTAATGCGGAACGCAAGTTCGTCTGCTTTTTTTGCAGGGGTTCTGGTGACGTCAGAACGCCAAGCCCTGATTGGATCTTATTGAAGGATAGTGGTAGAAGTAGACCTTGAGGCAGCTTGCTTCGAAGCCTACCCATTATCCTTCAATCAGAGGCAATCAGGACTAGGCGTCGTTCTAACGTCACCACAACCCCTGCAAGAGAACCAGACGAAATTGCGCTCCACATAGCAAACTGTTCTTTGGCAGAAGAACATGGTCGCATACTTTTTTCACCTTCTTGCTGCATTTTCTTACAAAAAAAAAAAAAGTTTCAGTTTGAAATTTTGTTTAAGAAGACATAGAGTGCAGGAAAATATATATCGTTTCAATCAAAGGCAGGGATAAAATTCACGTTCTATGGGAGCTCACCTGTGGCCAGAAGACCGAGCAGAATCAGCGCCTTCATCGTTTTTTGAGCTGGTATCGTGCTCCGAGTCGAGGAACCAAGTCTGATTCCGTGAAGACTCTTCTGCTACCGGTACCCCATAGATTGCAGCGGTAGTTACTCAATGCGGCTCATTGTTTCCAGATAAAACCAACGAGATATAGATGAGACTTTTAATCTTTGCGCTTCATGCGCTCTGCTGATACCGGTCAGTCTTTATCTTAGTCTAGTGATTCGTCAATTATATACCGATTGATAATAACAGCGGGCTCGTCACACTTGTGCTCTTCACAAGGTGGGCATGAAACGCGCATAATGCATTACTGAGTCCTTGCAGCTTTTTTTTCTTTTTTTGTGAAATATATATTTTAAGTAGTAAACATGAGTTCAAACGTAAACTTTAAAAAAATATCGCTGACAAGTATTTATCCGCATTACGAAAGAATATAAATTGGTCCACGCGCCGGTGTATCCCATGAGCATGTAACAAAGTACGTTGTTAATTCGCTACTTAGAGGTAGCTTGTTGGATGAAACTAAAATTGCCACAAAAAAAAAATCACAAACAAAACGCACTTAGCTTTAAAAATTTATTCGTTGCCAGGTAAGAAAAAAAACAAAAACGAGTTACTCTTGAAGGAAACGTTATTAGGTGGCCGAGCCGGTGGATATTCGACATACCCGAGTTACTTTTGAGGGGCTTTTAAAGCACGACATGATTTTGAACGTAACCCCCCCCCCCCCCCCCCCCTCCAATCTAAAAGTTTTATACGTCAGTCTGCTTGTCCGGCGTCCGTGCATTTCCCGATAAAGTTTGCAAAGCAAATGACGTCACATTACCTGACGTTACGATATACCTCTGCAGCAAGTTAGTTCCCCCTCTAAATTTAGTGGGGAAATTGATAAACAAATATATACATATATATATATATATGTGTGTGTGTGTGTGTGTGTGTGTGTGTGTGTGTGTGTGTGTGTTTGTGTGAGTGTGTGTTTTTGCGTGTTCCTCACCCGCCAAAACGATGGTCTGTTGTCTTCTAAAAAAAAGTTAAACGATCGCCCCTTACATATAATATCATGCACTATAGACCGTTTTCGTGTACTCTCGTCACCAGCCACCAAATAGGCGTATCCGGTATGGGCGACGAAAAAATAATAAAACGTTTCAACCTGTAACTAGTAAAAAAAAATAAGGGGAGGCTAAACGATAACGTGTGACGGTCACGCTTATATCCCAAATGTCTTCTATTGGTCTGGCGACCGCAAAACAGTGTTTTCGCACATACTGGAAGTGACGACAATTCAAGATGGCGGCGCCCTTCTGGAGAAGGTCTATAGAATTCGAACAATAAAAATCCCGGCCACTGTTTTTTTTTTTATAAAAAAAATGTATTGTTTTACTCTACTATGCGCGGAGAGATTCCTCACTTTTTACGTACCATCCATCCCTCATGCGCGAAGGTACGCGTTCCAGTCGACCTGCTCACCACGTACGTTTTGCTGTGTTTGCACACGCGTCTGTCGGTAAAAAAACACCTTCGCGGCATTTCATTTTTTTTTATTTTTTTTAGTAAAAGGTAACATGGCACAGATGTCTCTTCTGCAGTTTTCTTTGTTCGATCGAACGGAAAGCGATTCGTCGGGCAATTGACGCAATTGTCCGACGCCAATTGATGGTTTCTGCTCACAAGCGGTTCCCCCACACCTGGCGCGTGCAAACAAGAGTTTGGTTGGAAACACCGCGTGAGAATACAGAAGCCACATCCCGACGGGTTTCTGTAATCTCACGTGGTGTTTCCAACCAAACTCCCGTTTGCACGCGCCAGGTGATGGGAACCGCTTGTGAGCAGAAGCCACCGGCAAGGAGTATGCGTGCATGCGCGATGCCGACACCAGCGCCACCGCAGTGCAATGCCGTCCGAGTTTTTAGTTGGTGCATGTTGGAGCACTGCACGGGCCGCTTTTTTTGAGTCTAGGCCCGGCCCGGGCCAGGCGTCGTGGTAATTTATCTTCCCGATCGCGCGGCGCAGGTGTTTGAAACCGGGCCGGCCCAAGCCAGAGCAATTTCTATGTTCCTCGGCCCGGCCCGGGCCCAAGTATTGGGCAATGTAATTTTATGCACTTAACGCGACCGCTAAAGGGTAATTGCTGGTGTACGCAACTTCTTTCCTTGTACGGAAGTACCTGACGAAGCTACGAATAACACGAGTAAATTTATGTAGGCTCGTCGAATTGCGACCCCGAAGAATTATATTGACCTCATAAATAAAAAGATAAAAAAGGTGGTATATATAAATTGACCGGCCTATAGACGTAAGCAATAAACGGCCACTCCGACCTCAATTTTTATTTTAGGTTCCAAGACAAGTCGAACAGCATTAACAGCAGGCAGATGAACGATTTCCACAGTGAATTTGTTCACAGGGAGGTTTCTACAGATAAAGAGTTTTCTTCTTCCGGGGCCGCAGACCTAACACAATTATCTTACTTATTCTGAAAAATTGCCAGCAAAATTGCCACTGACTAGAACGGGAACAAAATCTTCCGACAATGATTTCATTTTCTGAATAAAAAGACGACCACTTTTTGTGCAAGAACAAAAGGGTTATTCGATGAATCTAGGTACATAGAACCTTCTTGGCAAGAAAAGAAAGACCTGAAAATGTCTCGCTCTGAGACTCCCACCCTTTTTGCAGGTCACCGAGGTATTCAGACGACTCGCCGGGATGCAAGTTTAGTCGTCTAACTCACCGTCATCACGGTTCGTGACGGGGTCGTCGTGCCAGTCTTGAAACTTATCCAGGAGCTTCCGTATTCTTCGCCACCGCTCTCGCTGTCGGAAGAAACCGCCGGCACGCCGACCATCATGTGTCTTACTGTGCCGTAACCAACGTTCCTCTCTGCTTTTACAATGCGCATCCACCAGCTGTGGTAGCGGTGTACTCAGCTCCTAAATTTGAGCACAGAATCCCACGCTATCGGACTTCTGTTGAGTGTTGTGATGCCCCAGAAACAAGAAGCAAAATATTATAAGTGTCGACATGCTGCAAAGGATAGACTCAACGAAGCGAATAGGCGGCGAAGAACGAACGAACCCCGCCCGGAGGCGCTTTCGCTTTGCGTACGGCGCAACATCCACTCTTTTGAAACCACGCGCAGAGTGAACGCGGCCGGGCGAAATTCGCCGTTTTTTTCGCCCCGTGGAGTACAGCCTTAAGTGAGATAGGCCCGAACTACTATACGTTTCGGCTCGTGATGCAGCCGAGACATACCATGCTTATCATATCATCGTGCTATGCTCGACGCGTTTTAATTCATCCATCTTCAGAGTACCGTGATTTCTCCTAAAATATATTATGACCGCGTACATAATCGCGTTTCATTTTACTTGGCCCTAAAACGAAGTTCCTCGTCAATATTTAGTAGAGCGCTATGCTCGTGTTTTCTTTGTCGCCAAGACAACGAAATTAACGAAGCTCAGATGTTTCTTACTGAAACCACACCTATTATTTGCACCCGTTGACGGGCCTGGATCGGGCCGCAACCCCGAGCTTGATCCAGGCCCGCCAAGTTGTTGGTTCGAGCCCGGCCCAGTCCTGCAGTCAAAAACCACCGGCCCGTCCCGGGCCCGCACATAAAAACCCGAGCCCGCCCAGGCGCACCGAAGACCGCCTTACCCGGCCCGGGCTTTCAGGTAAAACCGAGCCCGTGCAGTGCGTTTTAGTGTATATAGACCTTTGCATCGCTTATCAGTCGGGCAAAAAATGCTGAGTCACTGAGATGTGGACGCATGCGCAGCGTCCGATATACCACACAGCAGATCAACAGCGCATGCTTAGAAGGCGTTCCACAGCCCAGCTGACAAAGATGGCAGCGAGCAGAGGGCGATTTTTGCAAAGGTCTATCTATATACCACCGTGATCTATACTCACTTACATCAGAATAAATGCAGTGCGCGGCTCAATACGTTGTCGCTTCTTGCTTGGTGACTTGTTCTTCGGCGGCCTTGTCGGCTCGTGCCGTAGTCTCGTTGACTATGGAGCGATGACAATGAGGAACACGGGATGTACACCTCCTGCGTTTCTTAATAAGCTAGCAGTAAGTATAGAGCTGCGAATCGATTTAAAGAGGCTTTCTTAAATACTTTGTTTCAGTTTAAGTCCAGACGCAGCCGACGCCACGAGGAAAGGGAACCGACTAAGCAGCGTCAAAGGCCCTCGTCGCTAGGCCTTTCCTGTTTATGATTGGTTCAGCGATGATAGAACACGTACAGAAACATTACGGACACCGTGATGGTGCCTTTTTGACGCTGCCTGACCCATCAGATCGTTGAGTCGGCTGCGTCTGGACTTAAGCTGAAACAAAGTATACACTTTTTTTCTCTCATTGAAAAATAACGGGTAAAGCGTAACGTGATATTCGACGCTCCTTAAGTATGCGTGGGTGGTACCTTGTACTGATTGAAATCGCTGAGAGATGTCTTGCGTTGTTAGTCCCCGAAGTGTGCGGACGTACGTGCGCGTGTGTGCTTGTGGTGTGTGTTGGGGAAGGAGGTGCTTTTCTGGTAGCGTGCGAGGGCAACGCAACTTAACTTAGTAAGGGCTGCTAGCAACCTCCTCTTCATCTATGGAGCGTCGTCAAAAAGGCGCAACCTCGGCATTTGGACCGGAGGCCGCGGTGCCGGTCGTTTAAGGACACGTTGATTGACGACGAGGCCCTGCCGAGCGATGACCTAGCCCTTGCATTAAGCCCCTCCCCCTCCACCCCGCCCCCTTTTACCCACCTAGCTCTCGAGGGGAAATACCTCCGGCGCAGGGACAGTTCAACATTTTCAACTTTCAGTCCGGGCATTGGAAGCAAAAAAACGGCACCGTTGACGTCACAAGCGATGTCACTTCCGGCTCACGGAGTTCCCGCACGACCGTTTTGCCGGCTGGTTTGGGCCGCCCTTTGTGGAAGATAAGAGAGCATAATTCGAATTTAGAATTTCTTAGAAAAGATCGTAAGGGTGCAGGCGAGCTGATGAATATTAACCATGTTGAATTAACATGAGACTGGGGTAGAGAAGAAGTGTAGAAAGGACAGAAAATAGACAGGACGACGTCTCAAACTCAGCTAACTGATTTATTTAGTCCACT